GTCAAATTTCAGAATACCATAAAATGTTCCTCACTCCTCAATGTTTTTACACTGCATGAAGGTATGGTAAGTACTATGCAATGTGTTCAAGTTAGAATAAGGGGGAAAGTAGAATCAAATTATATGTTCTTGGTACAATAAATCTTCATTAAGGTCCTTATCAAGCATGCCATCTGAAATATTTCAAATTTACTCATAGAAAAATAGGACTTGAAAGGTCTCTCAAAGGGTCATGGTTACACTTTCAGAAAGGACTAAGCGAAATGAAGACAGAGCATTATCTACCTTTATTCTTAAAAATATTCAGCGTTTGATCGCATTGATGGCAGAATCAAATCTAATGCCTAACCTAAACTTCTCTTGATGCGATTTAAATCTGTTTCCTAATTGCTGATTCTCACCAACATAAACTCATCTTTTAAGTTTTTTCTAATTTAAGATTATAACTGCATATTCTTTAGCTTTCTTACAGCAAACTCTTCAAACCTGACTATATTGTGGCATTTACTTAAAATCAAAACAATCTACTACTAAAACCATAAAATAAGTTGCCTTGAAAATAGTTTCACAAAATCATTTGTATCCTGGGCATACATATTCCACTTCCTAAAATCTGTTCTACTCATTCCAGTTCACTGATTTTAAGCCAAAAAAGAAAACAAAGTGAATAATATGCAAATTTAATTAAACTAAAACAAAAATAACAAAACCTATGCAATTAGAAAATGAGACTTGGTAATGATAACTTAAGTTCTAAAGGGTGGGCTTTAAGGTAGTTTCAATTTTATTTTCTCACATTTTCCGAATAGCAAGGAAAGAATAACTATCAACATTCTGTGAGTGAATTCCTTCCATACCTTCCCCCCACTTCTAGTCTGACACTAAAGACAAGTATTCAAAGCCATATGTCAAGTACTCTAAAGGCTATGGAGCATTTATATTAGCCTTTAATTATACAGTCAACTCAAAGAATGACCAATACTCTTGTTCAAGTCAAAATCAATTATACAAAATTAAAGGAGGGAACACAAAACTAATTTTGCATTGCATTCAATAATGCTCTCACTAAATAATAATTCAAAAGGATAATTAGTGTGGATAAATTATAATTAGTCAAGTCATATAATACATGACTATGGGTATACTTCCTAAGAACACAAAATTATTATTATTTTTATCCAAATACTTCAATTATCCCATCCCCCCATACTCAAAAGTTTCATGTTTTTTTTTTTATTGTTTATATCCTTTTTTAAATTTTATTTTTATATTCCCCATAAAATTGCAACCCCTTATTTCGACCCCAATCCTTCCTTTCCCCACCCCCACCCCCCATAGAGTGTCTCTAGTTCACAGTAGTTTGTTGATTTTGATTTTTTTTTTTATTTTTTCTTTCTTATAGTTATTCTTTTTCCTGGTCTCCTGTTTAAGTTTTCTAGATTCCTGCTATGAGTGAGACCATCCGGTATTTTTCTTTTTCTTTCTGGCTTATTTCGCTGAGCACGATCCCTTCCAGCGCCATCCATGTTGCTGCAAATTGCATGTGTTTATCTTTTTTGATTGCTGAGTAATATTCCATGGTGTATATGTACCACATCTTCTTGATCCAGTCATCTATTTTTGGGCATTTGGGTTGTTTCCAAAGCTAGCTATTGTAAATAGAGCTGCTATAAACATAGGGGTGCAGGTGCTCTTTGGAATTGATGTTTCTGTGTCCTTTGGGTAAAATACCTAGGAGTGCGTGGAGATTTCTTGACCTACTAAACATAAAACTTCCATATGATCCAGCAATTCATGTTTTCTTTTTATAACTTGGCAGTTTCTTGCTTCTCTTGCTAACCTGACTATAGCTATGAGACAATAATTCTATCTCCAACTAACTCATTTTTCATGATACAAAAATAGCTGTTATTCTGTTAACCAGACTATTAATGAGTAGTAATAAAGCAGAATAAGTATCTAATATTATGTTGGTAAAAGGAAACAATTTGCTTAATAAAAGTTGAAATGGTAGTTAAAAAAAATCATCATTAAAATATAGTTCAAGAATGGAACAGAATTAGACTTGTGAAGTAAAGACTGAATAAAAACATGAAAAATAAAGCACAACTGTCTAGACTTACCTTTCAAGAGCTGCTCTCCGTTTTTCTACAAATTCAGTGGATGACGAATCTTCTTTACCCACTTTGACCTTAGTCATGCCTTTGAAACAAATTAACAATAGTCATGATATTACTAAGAAACAGTGTTTTATAGTCATTTCTGTATAATTTTTTTTAAGGATTTATTTATTTATTTATACAAGCACTGGGGTATAGTCTGAAGCAGGGGAGGGTGAAAGAATTCAAAAGTCATAAAGGTAGTTGGTACTTGGATTCTTAACCACTGCCTTCCTTCTTCCTTCTTCTTTCAAAAGAATGAAAAAGTCTTAACTCAAGGATCTTCTGATCATGTTACTCTTGTACTGATTTATATATTAATTGATTTACATATCACCAGAGCCAGAGCGGAGAGCAGAACAGGCTGACTGATGAAGTACACTGCTGAGGGGAGCGGCAGGAGAGGTCTGCGCGCCATGTGGGACCCTCGCCCGGCAGCGGGGGATTGAACTGGCGCTGCAGAGGCTGCGGGCAGCTTCACAACCCAGCGCTCAACCGCTGTGCCACAGGGGAGGCCCCATTTCTGTATAATTTTAAATATACCTCAAATTTGAGTTTTGCAGAAAAGCTTCTAGGTTTACTTATTTCATACTTTTGAAATTCAATTAAAACCCATGATAAACATCTTTAAGTATTTATAACATCAGAGAACAGATAAAGCAGAGACTGAGCTGTATTTATAGTTTTCTGATTGTAACTATTGTGGTACTTATCTTTGTATATTATACTCCTGATTACTTTTAAATGTGCTTGCATTCCAAAATCTGCAACAGAATTTCAAATTCATGAATTTCAGCTCAGTATTTCTAGTTCTTATAAACAATAATAATGTTTTTTCAATTAGGGACTAGAAAAATAAAAAGTGCAACCCATGAATTTGCTAAATGTTTTTCCTGTTTGAGATTCTAAGAACACGTTCTTGTTTATTTATCATTTCTGGTTTTACAACAGTTGAAATAACAAAGTCTTTCATAAAAACATTTACAACTCTTTAAATTAAAAAACATGCTAGTTATTTCTATACTGGCAATTTCAATTTTACAATTAACATAGAATGCAGATTTTCTTTTTACCTCTTCTTTTTCCTTTCAAAAACTGACTGTAGTAACAAATAGTAACAAAGCAGTGACACATACTGCAGTATGAATGAGTCTTGAAAGCATTAAGGTTCATGAAAGAAACATCAAAAAAGACCATGTATTATGATTGCCTTTATACAAATGCCCGAAAAGAAAAATTAATAATTACCTAGAGCTGGGAGGAAGAGGGAAATTAAGAGGATGATGGATAAGGAAAAATAAAAATATTCTAAAACTGTGATGTGTGCACAACTCTGAATAAAGTAAAAACCATTGAACTGTACATTTTAAATGGATAGATTGTTATATATGAAATATATCTCAAAGACATTATAAATGAATTATATAAAATCAGGTGGGTATATCAGATAAATAAATACATATCACCCATTAATGTTTTGTTCAATAAAATTTCTCTGAAATGTAACAGTATGAAAAAGAAAATTCACCTAAAAATACTGACCCTGAATGAAATACTAGATGTGCAATGTTTATTATTTCACAAATTCCGTTTCCCTGAAAAAGTTGTAACTCAAGGATCTTCTGATCATGTTACTATTCCATTGATCTATATATTAATCTTTAAGCAAATAGTCTATTGTTTTCAGAAATGACAATTTATATTAAATTATGAAGTCAGATAAAGTGCTAGCTTCCTTTCTCTGTTTTCTCAATTGCTTTTTCAATTTGAGGCCTTTTGTGGCTCTATTTCAATATTTTGTGTTAAATTTCTTTTTAAAATAGTGTTGATATTTTGATGGATGCTGCATTAAAATTATCATACCATTTCAGGAAGGATTTAGCCTGATTATGTTGAGCATGGGATATCTTCCATTTCTGTATATTGCTATCTAAGTCCCTTAAATAGCATCTTGTACTTCACATTGCATAAGTCCTTTGCCCCATTTAGCAGGTTAATTATTTTTCTTGAAGCACTAATAAAAATGAGTTATTTTCTTGATTTCTCTTGTTCATTATTTATACATTAAAATATTTTTGTATGTTGATTTTGTAGCCTGCTACTATGCTGTATTCATCTTTTTTTTTTTTTTACATTGTTTTTTGAGTAACTTTTTGGTGGCTGCTTTAGGCTTCTCTCTACATAAAAACACCTGCAAATAGTGATAGTTTCATTTCTTTTCCAACTTGGATTCCCCTTATATTCAGTTTTTGTCTGACAGCTCTGGCCAAAACTTCTAAGTTAAATGGAAGTGACAGCAATGGGCATCCTTGTCTTGCTCTTCAGGGGGAAGCTTTTCATCTTTCACTATACCATTTTGACTGTTGGTCTGTGATATATGGCTTTTACTGTATTGAGGTAGAGTTCCACTACTCCCATCTAGGGTTTTTATCTTTAGTGATACTGAATCCTACCAAATGATTTGTCTGCATCTACTGATATTATGATATATATATACATCTTTACTTTTGATATACATCTTTATACGATATACATCTTTACTTTTGTTGACACTGGTTTGTGTACAGTAACCCATACTCACATCCCTGGAATAAATCTCATTTAATCATGCTGTATACTCCTTGTGATACACTGTTGAATTTCATTAGCTAGTACTGTGTTGATCATTTCTGTACTGATGTTCAACAGAGGTCTCAGACTATAATTTTCCTTTCTTGTGTTTTATTTAATTGCATTTCGTATTTGGATAATATTGGCATAATAAAATGTATTGGGGAACATTCTATGTTCTCATATTTTAAAAAACAATTTGACCAAAGATGGCATTAGTTTATTCCTTAAAGATCTGTTAAAATTCATGTACAAAGCCTCTGGTCTTGGGCTTTTTATTTTGGGGAAACTGCTTTTCATACCAAATGTTTAAAAAGTAAAAATAATAATTTAAAGATAAGCAAAATTCATTCAAGATATTTTCCAGAATAATAATCTTATCTACAAAGAAAGAAAGGCAAACTAAAGAAAAAAAGAAAGGTAGGCAAAAAACATCAATGACTGAAAAGACTGGAAAAAACACTATAATATTTTAAGATAACAGATGTCCTTTAATGGGACAATGGAAATTCTCCTTTTATAATTTTCTGCATATACTTAACTAAGTTTTTATTACTTGTATAAATAGAAATGTTTCTAAATGTTAAATCGAGTTACAAGTTTACATGGCTCCTATATAAGTGAACTTAGAGTAAGTCTTTTTGGACAATCTATACCTGAGAATCAAACACTTCCATTCTTCAGAAAAATGCAAACACTTTAATAGTATTAAATATCCTCTATGAATCAGTAATATGGTGCTATAATGACTTCAAAGATTAGGATTTGTGACTGCTTTCATCTTGGCAAATTCTGACCCAATATTTATCATCATTGTACTACAGAAGTCAAAATCATTAGCTATACATTCTTATTTGATGTATGACTGTCATAAATCCAATATTTAAATTTAGTATCTCAAGATATTATGAGAGGCTAGTGAATGATCATGGAATCCACAAATCTATAGAGTTAAAACTGAACCAGTAACAGGAGCAAAAACTATTTTTTGATTCATACTTACCTACTATACTCTTTTCTGGAGCTGGTGGCACAATATAACCAACATGTAAATATTTGCTTGCTAACTTGCTATGCAAACCAAGAAAGTCACTGAATCTTCTTTTAACTGAAAATTCACTCTTACTGAACATTGAAAGAGATGTCTAGAAGGGAAGGAGAAATATTTCAAAGTTTGAATGCTAGGTAATAATATAATGTTATACATAATTGTGATCACACACAATTTTGCAAAAGAATGCAGAGTAGCTGACCAATGTGACACACAGTTTTTAAGAACTAAAATAAAGCCTTTAATCACAGATTTTTATTTTATAGACACTTAAGATAGAAATTATCTGCTTTAACAAAGGACTATGGTGGATGGTACACGGGTGAATTGGTGGTGGGAATTTCACGGGGATCATACCTGAGAGGAGAGAGCATACATTGTGCAAAAATGAAGAATGATGTAAAATATATATAAAACAAAAACAACAACAACAAAAAGAAATGATCTACTTTATTCTATCCTTGTCTCATTTCATGGACTCTACTTATATTTATACCAATAATTCTCAAATCTATACCTCTGGTCCAGATTTCCTCTAAGTTTTAGCTGAATATACTGAAATGCCCATGAACACTTACACTGCAATTTTACTGTAACCTGAAATTTCCCCCTTTCCCAATTGAGCATAACTTCCATGAGAGATGAATACTTGTCTTACTGTTTTCTGCTATCCCAGCGCTTGAACAGAGCCTGACCTCATGTAATTGTTCAATAAATACCTATTCAGTGAATTAACAAATCTCACTCCAGCTATACTGTGTTCTCCCCTTGTGTTGCCTTTTCTCTGGGATTACTCTGACAACCACAACTTTAGCATCCTTCCTTCCTCGCTCCTTCATGTAAGCCTTATTGATTGTATCTCTTACATAAGAAATCCTTTCTTTTGCTCAACTTCAGTACTGTTTCATTAATATAAAGTACTACTTCTCACTGCTGCAGATTCTCTTTCTGTCTTTTAAGACTTGAAGGCCTATAGTCCTTTAAGAAATGTGTTATCCTTTTAGTGAAAATCCTCCCTCTACTTTCACTCTCCCACTCATACCAAGCATAGAGAGATCTTTGAAAATGAAAATCTAATTGAGAACACACTCTTGTTTGAACATCATCAATGCCTTTCAATTATACTTAGGATGAAACCCAAATTTCTTAATGTGGTGATTGTTCATAATGCAGACAAGTTTATTGCCAAACATTTCGATCAGGCACCACCACCTCTTGTAGATCCTAGAAGGCACAATGAGTGATTGACTTCTAGCTTTTAACATGCATAAATCCCTTTGTCTGCAACAAGCATTCTTCCATTTCTTTCAATTCTCCTCTCCCCCACCAATCATTCCTACCTTTGCCTTTGCTCACATACTACTTCCCCCAGAGATGCTTTTCTGACCTCTGGGGTCTACATTAGCTCCCTTCCTGTATACTCTCATAGAATGCCTACCAAAACTCACTCACAACTCATCGTAACTGCTTAACTATCATCCTTTTTGGATGGTAACCTTTGAAAGACAGTGATAACTTACACCTTAATTATCATTGTATCCTCATACCACACATACATTTTTAAAGGAACAAAACACTCACCTTTGTTGTTACTCTATATGCCATATAAGCATTCATGCCATCACCTATAAGAAAAGTAAAATAATACTATTAAAAAGTCATAAATTTCACACACAAACACATACATGAAAAGGTAACTGTGAGGTGATGTGCTGATAAACTTGATTGTTCTAATCATTTCATAATGTGAAATCATGACATTATACACCTGAAATATATGAATTTTTAAAATATGCTATTTTTGTCAGGTATAACTCAATAAAGATGGGGGGGACAAAATAAGAAACAATCCCCCCTCAAAAATTTAAAAAGTATGGTCCTAATAATGTAATAATAGACTTAGTAAAGTAAAACAACACATTAACTATCAAAAAGCAAGTACAAAATAAAATAAATATCGACTCACCAACTTTCTCTGGATCTGATACACCAATTTCTATATCAAACATGTCTCCATTTGCTTCTTCTTCAATCTAGAAAAGAAAATTTTTTTGGTGTTAAAGACTTCAATTTATACTACTGATGTAACACCTATAACTAAAATTTTACCACCTATGTTTTTTTAGTCACTCTCAAACAATTTAAAAAACCATTCAGTACTCCATTTCTTAAAAAGCTTTCACATTTCCTAATTATGTAAATCATTTGTGGAAATAACAGAAAACTTGGTGTTCTTACAACTCTTCAAATACAGAAAACATCTTCTGCATCTTTAGTCTTCTGTATACACGTTGTGGAATTTTTTGTTCTACTAATTCCTTAATTATTTTTAATATCAGCCTTTTTCAGAGTTGTGTCTCTATTCTTTAATAATCAGGAGGTGGCGCTTATTTTTATGAGCAGAATCCTACATATCTATACAAATTATCATAAAAGCAAATTTAACACTATGACTTCTCTGATTATCTTAAAGTCAATGAAAGTACTATAAAGCCCATTGAAAAAGAGCAGTAAAAAGGAGACTACAGAGATGTGCTTTTTAATGCCATTATAAACAAACAGTCCAAAGAGCAGCTTCATAGGGAAGTTCATTGTTCTCGAAAAGAAAACACAAATAATTAAATCTTGCACATTTTCAAAGAGTATTACTAATTTAAGACTATCAAAAAGTAAAGTGATTTTTTTCTAACTATTACCTTTTTTGGTACATATTTTGTAAAAATAAACTTTATCTGAACTATAGCATAATACAGAAAGTATGTAAATCCTAAATGTACATCTCAATAAACTTTCACAAAGTAACAACATCTTTGGAACCAAACCTTGATAAAGAAACACCATTCTCACACCCTCCAAGGCCCCCTTCTTTCTCTGCTTGTCTAGTGAAAACCCTTATGTTACTTTGCCAGCAAAACCTCTAACATTACTGCACACTTTCATCAAAGCACATTACTCAAAATATCACCTAACTAAAGTTTTCAAAGCACTTTCATACATTTGCATTTGACCACATGGGAACTCTGAAGGCACAGAACATCATCAGAAGACCACAAATGACAAACTCATTGACCTAAGAAGGTAAATGATGTGCCCAAACCGCTGATTAAGATGTGAAGATAAAACTACAACCCAGATGACCAACTTCTTTAGTACAATGTTCCTTTTCCAAAACATCTAAGGCTATTAGAGAGGGCTAACAGGAGACTGATGCCATTGAGAAAAACCTTACTATCTACATATTAATTTGTAACATAAACATTTTCCCATACCTCCTCTCTGGACCTATCAAAGATGACAGGAGCAGACATACTTTTTGATTCAATTCTGGGAGCAATGAGTGTAGTAGGGGTCACAGGCGTGACTGCAGGAGAAGGATCTGAGGAGAGGATTGGTTCCCTTTCTGGACTGTCCAAAGAAACTTCTTCTGTGGCTTCTAGACACAAATGAGGTAAGTTAGTTAAGGACCCGACCAGCAAGACCCATAGTCTATACAGCAGTTAATGTACTATGAAAAATGTTTTCATACTCTCCATAAATATTACAATGTTATTTAAAAAGTTGTTATAATTTTATGAATCCTTCCTTGTTTGTCAAAACTTTAAAATCAACAGTGACTTTGTTGATTTAAGGAAGACTTCTAGTAAATTAACTTAATGATATATACTATTGGTAGGGATGAAGCTAGTGAAGCAATGACATAGTAAAATCCACAGTCATTTGTATTTGGACTTGTCATATATATTATACTTGTGGTAACTTACCTTTCCAAATCTCTTCTTTACCCTAACATTAATTATTTATACATACAAATTTTATGATAGAAGGTTGCCAGCACTATCCTAGCTAGGATTAAAAGTTTGTTATGTAGAATCCAGTCAGTAATCTAAAGCAATTAAGTGCCAAAGAACACTGGATATTAGTTGAATACGCAAATATGACACAAAACATGGGTCTTTAGGTTTTAATTTATAATGCTCATTCACTTAAAAGATCTACAATTAAATATATTTAAAACAAAATCAAATCAATAAACCGTCTACAAGCTGTGTAACATTGTGCTAAATGCAGTGGAGAAACACAAAGAAATGTAAATATCATACCTGCCCTCAGGGAGTTTAAAATCTATTTGGGAAAACAAGACATAAGCATGTGGAATGTTAAATAATAATAAAAAGACAAATAAAGCCAAGAGAACAATAAGAAGAATGTTACAAGATATTTAATTGTTACATGAACTATAGCACAAACACTATAATTTGAGTTTTAGGCTGGGGAAAATCATGAGAAGTTTCTGAAATCAATCTGAGAAGATCTGGATGAGTCAAGAACATGGAGGGAGAGCTCTATGAAAATGGAATAACAATATAAGCAAAAATAAAAGCTAGAAGTAAAATTATGGCCACAATCCTAACAGTTCTGCTGGTTTAGAAAACTGATAGTAGGATAAGGCAGACAGGACTGTGAGGGATCAGACCAGTGGTTTCTAACCTGATGTTCTGAAATTGCTAGAAGTTTGGGAAGGTAGTAATGAGAATCAGCCATTTTTAATTTTAATACCTGAAAAAATACAGACATCAACACCTTTTCCTAAAATAAGATTGCACAGGTTAACATTTATCAAGCTATTCTTTCTGGTTATCTCCTGTTAATGAGATCCTTATTTGGACAGCGCTCTTTATATTTTCATATTAAAAACAAAAAAGGATTAAGGAGCCAAAATCTTTCCAACTATGGTAAAAGGAAAATAGACTACAGATGTTGAATGTATAATGTTAATAAATTAAAAGTTGACATGCAATTGAGACTGTTAAGATTGCTAGTACTTTACTTACAAAGAAATGAAACCAAAGAACAATATAAAAAAGCAAGCAGTGTGTCAAATTAGGAGATGTGAGATCTGTAGACTACAAACAAGAAGCAAACTAAAAAAAGAAACTTGAAGTACTTGGAGAAAGCTGCTGTTGCTTTTGGCAACCAACCAATAGACAAAATGAAATATTTAGTAACTTAGTATCAGTACAGGTAAAAGCCATTTTAAACTTTCAATTATATTTTATTCACTACTACCAGTTTTGCGTTCTATGACAGGCTGTTTCATAAATAAAACACCTCAAAATAAGAAATGCTAAATATGATCTAAGTAGCAAACATGGAAGAGGGAAATGAAACAATAGAAATTTAGATTCAGCATACTGCCTTAAATTCTTCTCATGACATCTTTCAGTGTCAGTAATCTAATATACCATAAATTCAGAAAGTTAACTTAAACCACACCTAATGTTCTAGAAAATGCAACATAGTTACTAAGTATAAAGATTAACTATTACTTGGAAGCTAAAGGAAAGTATAAATTATGTCAATGTTGGCTGAGTAAAATATTACTCATACAATAGACACCAAAGAATTTGTTAATCAAAGGAATACACATTAAACTTAAAATTGGCATCATTTGCTGTAAAGCATAAATACAATAGAATTCATAAAAACAAATTCTAAAAGTCTAGGACAATTTCAACATTGGCATTTGCTTACTCTCACTTACCCCTCTAGAACAGTTTCCTAAAATTTGTTCAGTGAAGGGTAAGGTCGAATATAACAAGTGGTAGAATAGGGTTCTGTGGTCAATAGTATTTGATCCTCTAAATCAGGTAATAACAATAATATGTGTCACACTTACTTTTTCTGGTACCATTTATGACATACCTGAAGTGCTACCCAAAACCACTTATGACATACTTAAGTGCTACCCACTTCTGGTACCACTTATGACATACTGGAAACATATGTTTCCACATATGACATACTGGAAACATACCCAAACATATTAGTACATATACCAAAACAGTTTACTCTATGGTTTTAAAATCAAAGCTAAGTACATCTATGTACTCTCCTCTGCTATAGGAAAAACAAATTAAGTATATGTTCTCATCACAAGATCATTATTTTTCACTATCCTGACAACATATGCTATACTGTCTTAAGATATCCTTGAACCATACGTCCACAGAAAGAAGGCATACCTTCCAAAAAAACTATTATAAAGTACAAGAATAGTATTCATTCTTATAAAAATGATCAGACAGTTGCCAAAAATCATTGCAGTGTCCTCACTTGGCTAACTGGCTAGCTGTGCACACTATCTTCTTTTCATAGACACACACAGGGAACTGTTTTTAGAGTAAAATTTTACCATGTTCATTTATACAGAATTCTGAAATTGTTAAATAAAAAATCTTAACAGAAAGTACAATCCAAATTTCTATGTATGCCCCTATACTACTAAAGTAGTACACACAATTTTATTTTTTTTCTAACTTTTTTTTTTTAATAGAGGCATGTTATTTATTTATTTATTGTTTGTTTGTTTGTTCATTTTGTTTATACATGCACTGGGTACAGTCAGAAGCACGGGAGGGTGCGAGAATTCACCAGAGCCAGAGCGGGGAGCAGAGCAGGCAGAAGGACCGCAGGCAGAAGGACCGAAGTACACTGCTGAGGGGAGCAGCGGGCGGCAGGAGAGGTCTGCGCGCCATGTGGGACCCTCCTCCGGTGGCCGGGGAGCAGCCAGGGATCGAACCGGCGCCGCAGAGGCTGCGGGCAGCTTCAGCTTAGCAACCCAGCGTTCAACCGCTGCGCCACTGGGGAGGCCCAGTACACACAATTTTAGATTAGTCCTATTAAGAGGAGGAGGGAGAGGGGTGAGAGGGAGGGAGGGAGGAGCACAGGGGACTGTGGTGATGGTGCACGGTGCTTTGGGGAAGGAAATTCTATGGGGACTCAATCTGATGGGGGGGAAGGAAATATTGTCTAAAAATGTAAAAAATGATAAATGTTAAAATAAAAAAAATCTAAAAAAAAAAACAAAAAAAAAAAAAAGAAGGGATTTGTCATCTCTGAGATTAAAATATAAATAAATGCCATGAAAAAAACTTTTAAGAACAGCCTAGAAAAAAAGTCCATGAAAGGAAACAAAAAGAAGTGTAACAGCTTTGGTTAACTGTGATTTTGCTATAAATTGTTAGGTAAAAACAAAAAGAAAAATATCACTAGCATTTTGTATTATATTTTTAATTTCCTGACATGATAGAATATAGAATACAATTAACTCATCTGCAGTGAAAATTTTTCATGGAACTAATCAAACAGGAAATTATGTGAATCTCTATGATGTATCTCCAAACATGTTTGCACAAAAAAGCACAGAATGGTTTGAATATTCAACCACTATAAACCTGAGGACTATTAAATTTTACTCAGTGAAAGCGAGTTCAGTTAAGCTATTAAACACAATGATTTACTATTTTAATTTTTTGTGTTATGAATTCTAAGGAATATTTTGCTTTTTAATATCCAAACATAAATTTGTAGCTAAATTTTAACCTTAAAACAGATAACTCTTTTAAAGAGAGTGCAATTATTTTAAAGTTAGGACAGACTATACCAAATCCTGCCTCCTTATCAAAAATAAATTCCTCAAGTCTCAGGTGAATCAAAACAGAATAGGCAGTAAACAAATACTGCAGCATTACATTAAAACATATTTCAAATAGAGTACAAATTAAGTAATTTTTAAAAGCAGTGTAATTTTGCTTTGTGACAACTTGTAAGTAATGAAAAATAAAGTCATTGCTATTTCACAAAGTACTGAATGCCATAGCCATTATTTCTTTGAGTCTAAGTACTGACCGTAAAAATTACAATTGCGTAATTTATTTTCAAATGATTTTAACCAGAAAGGATCACATTTTTGCTTTCCTAAGCAGTCTATATTTTTCACAATGTAACCTAAAGTCATACATTTGGAAATCTCCTGTCTTTGTAAATTGTTAACAAGACTAGCTGCCACTAATACTATATGCCATACCTCAGTTGTGCTTTAGAGGTATTTTCTGTCTAACAGTATATACACAAGAGGCCATTTTCTGAAAAATAAAAATATTTATAATTACCTGCAAAAAGATCTTCTCTGTCATCATCTAGCACAACATCTGAAGTTTTTGGGCCATTGGAGTTTGTACTAATATCTTCTGCAGGAAGACTAGCTGGTTCTGGAGATGAAGGACTTGACTGTTAAAAAACAATATAGATAATGGATTGGCACATTTATTTTATAATTATGTCTCTTATGCTACAGAAATAGAACAATCTCTTGATAAGAAGGGAGAAAGAACAATGCCAGCTATTTATAGCCCCTCCTCTGACACTAAGAATGAACCAAAAACACACTTTTTACTCATCTTCTCCCTCACAAAATTACGTACAACAAAAATCTTGTGTAGTCCTCTTTAGAGATACAAATTTTGTCATGCTAAGTTAGAATTAACAACAAAAAAAATTTAATGTGTTTTACAGTCACAATATAATGATATTGATTACTATATAAACCAAAAACAGACACTAAAAACCCAACTGATGTGTAACAAGTTCAAAACACTGTTTTACTATAAGAGGAAAGTTTAATACTAGTAGAATTAAGAAACATTTTTAAAAAAAAATTTCTACATTCAAAATGTAAAACAAGATTAAAACAAAAAACCTTTAACAGTTTTCTAAGAGTAGTTGAAACCAATAGTATTAAAAAACTTTTTATTGAAGTATAACATAAAAGCGAAATTGTTTATACCAAAAATATTTTTTTTCAGAGAGAGAACATAATCATCAACCACAGAAACTCTATTCTTTAGCCTCTGTCTACCCTCACTTCTACTAGCTTGGATATTTGCTCTTTGTAAAACCACAACCATACAGAATATATTCTTTTGTGCTTGGTTTTTGTTGTGATGTTTTATATATATATATATAATATATATATATATATATATATATGTATGTATGTATGTATATATATATTTTTTTCTAATGTTATAGAAATTCTTTTATACTGTGTGTAGTAATAGATCACCCTTGCTGTAAAATATTCCTTTGTGTGAACAGCAGGTTCTTCTACTATTGGGCATTTTGGTGGTTATCCAGATTTTTACACAGTAATCCACCCTCATCTGTAGTTTCAGTTACCTGTGATCAACAGAGGTCCGAAAATAATATGTAAAATGAGGTATTTTTAGAGACAGTGACCACACATTCACAGAACTTTTAGTAACAGGATATGGCTTAGTCTCATTATTGTTGTTAATCTCTTACTGTATATACTTTATAATATTAAACTTTATCATAAGTAATGTAGTATGCATAGTGAAAACCAGTACTTCCATGGTTTTGGTATCCACTGGGGATGCCACAGACTGGGAGGGAGGGAGATGCAACAGTACTATCAATTGTGCTTGAAGAAGTTTCCAATAAATATTATCCTTCAGAGACTATATGGACAAATTTCTGTTTAGTATTTACCTAGGAATGGAATAGAAGGATCACACTTGTGGTTAGGTCACTGCCTTATATAGTCCCATAATATTAGCAAGACTTCATCATAATTCCTCTTACCACACTACATTTTAAGTATTATCCGCTTACTAAAAATTTAAAACAGCTAAAGCATAGCTACATAAAAATGTATTAGCAGAATGAAACCAACACTCATCCATGATAAAAGCCCTCAGTAAAATACAGTTAACTAGAGGTTGATTCCTCAATTTGAGAAAAAGTATCTACCAAAACCTTCAGCATACTTACTGGTGAGAAACTTGAAGCTTTCCCATTAAAATCAGGAACAAGGCCAGGATGTTCCCTTTCACTACTGCCTTTCAAAGACTCCCCAGTTAATGCAATCATACAAGAGAAGAAAAGGTATACAGATTGGGAAGGAGAAAACAAAACTGTCTTTGTTCACAAATCAGGCAATCATCTATAAAGAAAATCTAGAAGCAGCCGAAAGCTCCAGCAACCAATGAACATTATATAGCAGCTGCAGGAAACAAGTTTAACATAAAAAATTAACCACTTCCCTCTATGCCATCAATTAATTAATAAAGTTTAAAAAATACAATACCATTTACTGTAAGACTCCCCACCCCAATTGAAAAACTTAGGTATAAACCTAATAAAATAACACAAGACCTACATGAGAAAAACTACAAAACTCTGATGAGTGAAATCAAGAATTAAATAGAGAGATATTCCATGTTCATGGATAGCAAGAATCAATACTGTCAACAAGTCAGTTCTTCCCAAGTTGAGCTACAGATTCAACACAATGCCCCCAAAAATTTCAGCAAGTTAAAGCAATAAAATGATCAGAAAGTATATATGGAGAGTTATATGGAGAAGATCCAGAACAATCAACACGATATTGAAAGAGAAGAACAAATTTCTGAAGATACCTAATTTCAAGACTTACTACAAAATTACAGAAACCAAGGCAGTAAGGTATTGGTGAAAGAGTAAGAAGATCAACAGAACAATAAAACAGAGTGCCTAAAATAGACCCATATAAATAATGTTAACTGATCTTTGACAAACAAGCAAAGGCAAAACAATGGAGCAAAGATAGAATCTTTTCAACAAATATTGCTGAATTTAAATACAGTCTTTACACCCTTTAGAAAAATCAACTAAAATGCATCACAGATTTTTAAAAAAACAGTATGTTTTTATAGGGAGATTCAAGTGACTAAGGGTTTCTCATAAATCACTAAGGCTAGAGTTATAAAACAGTAGAACACTTTCAAAGAGCTAAGATATTGACCTAAAATACCCAAAGCTAACTGAGCAAAAATATCCTTCAGGAAAGAAGGTGAAATAGTTTTCAGTAATGAAGAACAAATATGAGAATTCATGAATAGACCAGCTCTTAAAAAAAACGCTCTGAAGGAAATTTTCTGTGGAAGATAAATCATACAAGAAGGAAGACTAAATGAAGGAAAAACAACAGATGTAGGAAAAAGCAAGGGAGGAAATGAATAAACACAGACTAATTTGCCCTCTTAAATTCCTTAACAACATGTATGGCTTTTCAAAGTGGACATTTATAATGCAGAATAATCTCTAACATATTAGATAATTTACAATCTTTAATGTTCCTACAATTGAATGTTCACATCTTAGGTAGTCACAGTTCTAATACTATAATGCGAGAAAAACTAAGAAGCTGCTTATGTAACAAAATGGACCATTTGTCTCCACAGTTCAGAGCCCAAGCAAGATGCTGGTGGGATGGAAAATGGAGTCGAGAGGCAACTCCAGCAGCAAGTGGCTGTGGCAGCAGCAGTCACCCCATGATGGAGTGACGATGAGGCATGCGCTTCCTTTGGGTGTCATGCCGTGAGCAGCCAGTGCCTTGCCCTAGGAACAGCCATAGAGCAGTGACTCACTAAAGGCTATCAGGACTCACTTATCTCTGCCTCTGCCTCTCCATACCTCTCCTGGGTCCCTAGTTAGTACAAAAATAGTTGTATTCCATTGGATGAAAAGGAATATAGAACAAGAGGCAGCTAGAGGAGGAAGTTATAGTGGAAGGGAATGCTGATGGCTTCTCTGGCTGGAGCACAGGTTCTAGGTGATTAGAATTATAGTTGTAGAAACTATGTAGTTAAGAGACATAAGTGCTTTTAATAAACACATAGTCTTTTCTTTCCTTGCATCGTTACCTACTAATGCAGTAGAGAAAACTGTTATTAAAAGTTCCAAGGTTGCTGCTGATTTCAATTAAAAAGCAGTACTTTTGATTCCAACCAAGATTAAATAAGTTCATTAAGTCTTTCTCTCACTGATTAACAATAAACATTCCAAAAAAAAAAGCAAAAAAACAATAATCTAGAAATAACAGGCAGATTGAAGAAGGCAAAACATGAAAATGGTGTGTTAATGTGAGCGACTACTTTTTTCTTTTCTCTTCCAGCTTTTCTTGAGAATAGTGTAAACTGCAGAGCTACATTATGACTCCAAGAAAAACTTTGTCTTTCTGGTTATAACCCTAGGGGCCCTCCAACCTAGAACATGTAAGTGGAAATTCTTCTTTTTCTTCTTCCTCAAGTCCATTTTCTCTCCTGACCCTGCCCTGAGGCAACAAATATCTACTTAGCTACTTGACAGCAGCAGTGATGATAGGGTTGGTATCTAAAACCATAACAGAAATCTACTTCTCTACCCAGCTGAACCAGGAAAAGGAGACCCAGTAGTCTGAAAAATAGGAGACAGAAATTCTCCATCATCATCATAGTATATTCTTTCCCTGCTTTAACTGTTCTTTCTACAAGGCAGGCCCAAACTCAGTAAAAATGTATGAAAATGCAAGAAACTAAAATATTGAGAGAACCCTGTATTTCTAGCCTAAGAAACTAGAGAAGAGGCTCCTGAGGAACTAGTAGTTGTAGGATGGGAATCTCAGGTAAGAAAAATGGAAAAGAGGGTCTCTTAATTCTATCAGTGAAGCTAAACAAATCATGGGTTCACCTCAAAACTGCACATTTGTGGAATCGATCAGAAACATTATAATGAATTATCTCATGTTTCTTGCAAGCAAAGCCCTTGTTTTAGGCTATTTAAAAAAAAAAAAAATGTTTGTATGGTGAACAGACTTGTAAAACAGAGATAAATGTTTCTTTCCCAAGCAAAGAGCAGGACTGTCTCATCACCAGTATGATGAAATTAATTACTTCCTCTCGAGCAAACAGGCAGATTTAACAACAGGTGTAAATTTTTGGAGTTCCCTAATCTTAGGTTCCTCAGATTGTGACACAAACCAAAGACAGGGTGGGTATTAGCCTGGGCCCTACCATCCTGGCACAAGAGGGGTCAGAGAAATTGTCACAGATATGGTCCTGGTGGTGCTTGATATGCTTTGAATCAAGCCCCTTATGTCTTCTTCCAGGAACAAAACAGTTAATTTGTTAGTTTATAAGGCTAATAAAATTTCACATCCTTTAATCTTGAGAGGAAGTCAGTGAACTTGAAAAGATGGATCATTAAAAATATTCAATCTGAAAAAGTGGGAAAAAAATGTGGGAGAAAAAAACACTGAACCTTTTATGTGAATAATATAAAAAAGTAGCATTTATGTCGCTAAAATTTTAGAAAGAGAGTAGTGAGGAAAAACATCTCAAGAAATGACAGCTAAAAATGCCACCAATTTGGTGAAAGACAAATTCCAGATTCGGGAACAAATTCTAAAAAGGACAACTTTGGGGAAAAAG